GAGTCGACAAGTCGCACTATAGCTCTCTCTCGAGGAGCTGGAGGATGAAGCTGAGAGAGCCAGAACGAATCCACGCCAAACTTGGTCGATTATCACATCGAAAGCAGACATTCACCGGGACCCCCCTCCGCTTCTTGCACGCGGATTTGGCGCAGTACTCAGAGATCTCAGCGACTTTACGAAGGGCCAGCAAGCAAAGACGAAGCTCTCGTCTATTGCTGGAGTGAAGAGTCTGGCACCGGGAGAATCGCACCGCATCCTCGTATACAAGCTCACCGCCAGCATAGATGGCGAGCCCTCCACCGAACAACGAAGCATCGCTGCTGACCTCGAGCGATATAGCCTCGGACACATCACGACGGACCGCAACAGCATGCGAGCAAGGTTGAGCTTCTAGTTCGCAGATCTCTTGACCCCACCGAAGAACCTCAAGATAGGCCTGTTTATAGTCGTCGCTCAATAGCGAGAGATCACAGGGTACGTCCCAGCCTATGTCGGCAAAACAACCTCCAATAATGGACCTCAGCACATCTGCCAACATCCTCGCGGAAGCGTGCAGCTTCGCACAATCGAAGGATAATAAGCCAGATACACCGAAATAATCTTTTTTGGTGAGCTTTTGAGATAGGGGTGCTTCTCGGCGGAAAAACTCGAGAGCTCGGCCAAGTCGAAGAGCTCGACGACAGTCCGTAGTCAGCAACGTTCGACCGGCCTTGGTAACGTAAGAGAAGGCAACGTTGAAGATAGAAACTGTGTTCCCCACAGCGGCATCAACGTGGTGTTCCTTGAAGACCGACCGCATACTCTGGATGTCAGCAGGTGCCGTCGCGACCGCCAACTTCTTCTCCTGAGATAGGAACCCAGCCAGACATAGGAAATGCAGCAGATGGCACAGGTCTCGGGCTACTGCCACCGGCATGCCAGCAAGGACCAAATCGTCGAAGTAATCGTGTAGCCATGAGTCACTGGCGATGTCACTATCTCGGTAGCTCGCGACACCAACGCCCAGGGTGCCACGGAGTGCCAAGGGACCAGCGGCGATCCCGAATGTAACTCTGATACTGGTGTAGGTGCCAATTGCGGTCTTCATGGTAATGGATGCAGTACCGGACTCCGCAGAGATGTGCACTGAGTAGAACGCCGACTTGATATCAGCCGTTATAAGGGCAGGAGGCGCAACTAGCCTGACTGCGCACAGTATATGGAAGAGGCCGGGACCGCCATTCAGAGGAGCCGGAGGTAAAGCAGAGTTAACCGGCCTAAGGTCGCATACCAAGCGGCTCTTCAAGGGCTGCTGAGGCGTGGGTTTACTGCTAACTAAGAAGACGTTCGCCACAGGCGTCGGACAGGAGGTTGACCCAGTAGGCGGTGCCTCAACCCAGAACCCTTTGGTCACAAAGTCGGAGACCAGCTCGGAGTAGGTCTGCTGCAGGGCAGGAGTGAGTCGACGATACATAGCTCCAGCATAATCGCTGACTTTGATCCTCGGCAGGCTGAGCTTCGGAATCCAGAGCTCTGCCACGTAGGTCTGGCCTGGAAAGTCAAGGCGCTCAACCGGAAACAAAGGACGAATCCGAGTACAGTATGACCCGGAGCAACCCACATCCAGCCAGCCACGAGCTGCAATAGACCTCCAGAGTGTATGTAACTCTGCCTCAACTTGAGGCGACAGACGCACAGTTACAGACCCGGCAAAGGTAGGTGCGAGTGGTAGTGCCGAGAAGTCGGAGGACTCCACCTTCTTCGTCAAGTTATCGGTAGTGTAGAAG